ATATCTATATGTATATATATCTATCAGCATAACCTTTTCATAATCCTCCAATATATCGCGCTCTATGGCTCCTCTATCCTGTATATTGTTATCTCTGGGCTCCCTATAGTTTCTATCCACACAAACCCATGGTTCTTGCACACGCTTCTGAGCACGTCTCGGTCGATACTGGTTTCGACACTCAACGTCACATGCTTTGCCGTTTTCTCAATCAACGGCAGCACCGCAGAGTCTTCATTGTCATCGTCTGTTTCCCAGCAGAAATCAGCATCCCATTCAGCCGCTCTGGCAACTCGTGCAGATGTCTTTGGTGCAGCAGCTGCTGCCGTTGTGACAGACACGGGAGTGATGGATGCTGTGCGCTCAGCGCTGGCTTTCTTTGTATGATCTACCCAAACATCATGTAGCTTGACGGGCGGAGTTCTTGTAGTCATCGTTTTGTAGACGACTACGTTCCTCTTAGGCTCTGGATCATGGGCAATGCTGTCACATCCAAATGCGCTAGCAAACTCATGCACTATTCTGCGACCTTCTTGAGGCATCGCAGGGAACGAATAGTGTTTTGTTGAAGAGCTGGAAACAAACTCTGTCATGATGTTTTCAATTCCATCGCAGAAGTCTCTCTCTGATTTGCCTGCACTGTAGTAATCCAGTAGGTATTCAGAAAATGGAGACTTCATAGAGATCGAACTGCGAGGATCGTTGCTTTGAATGGAGTTCACTTTCAGAGCCTGCGCCAACCGTCTGTCTCGCTGCAATTTGAGACATTCTTCATCGCATTTCAGTGTATGATTCGGATAAGGATCGTCTTTCGTGCTGTTGCATTGAACTACCGCAGTTTTCTCTCCGCATTCGCAACTAGTCTTCATTTGTGACCGACAGGGGATTCGAGTGTTACATTCAAATGGCGCATGACATCGTGTCATGTCCTTATGTCCACATGGACGCAATTTACCACAAGCATTAGTACAAGGCGGACATTCACCGGCTTCGTGACAGACGGCTGTGCATTTGTGTAATCCACAGGGCAGCGGTTTGCCGCACACCTCGCCGCAGAAGACTCTAGTCTTTGAGCAAGCCTGATTTTTCACCATAGCTTTCCCGCAAAGACACCTCTTCGTGACCAGGTGCGGGCACGGTGGACATTGCTCGTCGTCTAAATGACAGTTGTGAGGGACAGGCGGGTGCCCACATGGCGGGCGTCTCTGACAATTGTATTTACAGTGTGGATGTTTTGTGCCACAAGGTTGAGGGGGCATCAACCGCGTGCGCCCACAGTTGCATTCAATTTCTTCGAAGATAGCCTCCAAACAAGGCTGACAAGGCCCTCTGTGACAGATATTTGTGCAGCGATGGCTCCCGCACGGCAGGAGCTTATCGCACACTCGTGTACATATGTGCTCTGGTTCAATACTTGCTGCATCACTATTAAAGTCGCGGCGTCGCCTCGAAGCTGTGCGTTTAGCCCAGTGTCTTTCACCGCTGCAACATGTCTTGCCGCATTTATGTGTATGGCAATTAAGCAAAGCCTGACAGACTCTCTGGCAGGTCGGTTTAGTGCCCAGAGGCGTTTGGCCACATATAACTTCAACAGACGAGTAGCCGCACACACACTCTTTCCACACTGATTTCTCACATGGATTGCAAGGTCCTTCGTGGCAGCTCAGTTCACATGTGTGGCCGCAAGGCAGTGGCTTGTCGCATTGCTGGCCGCATGTCGGGACTGGCTCAGAACACGATTCGCGCTCTCTGCCTAGAATTTCCGAGACCTTTCTTTTCTTGCAGGGGCAGGTAGTGGCCACGTCCGGGCTGTAGGGACAATGTGACGCGCGCATAGTCTGCGGATGGCAGGGCTTCGGGCAGAGATGGACGCCGCAGTCGTACGGCCTGTTGCATATGTGATGACACTGTGCAGCTCCGTCCCATACGCGGACCTCTGCGCCTAGTTGGACAACGCTTCGTTTTGATTCGACCCGCTCAGAGCATTTGCGTTGATAGACTTCCTTTCCGCAGTAGCAAAACACGTCAATGATCGATTGGCACGGGCCACATAAACCAGAATGACAAGCTCTCTGGCACACATGCATTCCGCAGGGCATTGTTTCATTGCATATTTCACCGCACGACCAGCCGCTATAGTCTATGTCAGCACAGCGGTCTTGCTTTGCCCGTTTGCCACAGAAACACCGCGTAGTGATGCCTGTCTCCTGGCATGGAGGGTGCGGGCCCGGGTGGCAAAGAATATGGCACTCGTGATTGCATTCGGTATGTTTAACTCCGCAGGGCTTGCCGCAGCTGTGCGGTATAGCGCTGGATTTGGCATGCGGAGAGGTAACTTTCCCGCACCAACATTTGTATAGCTTAGGTACAGACTCGCGGACTGTCTGACAGCCAGGACAGCGCCATTTAGAAGATGTATTACTAGCGGTAGAATTGTTTTCGATAGTCTTAGATGCCCACTTCTGTACACAAGAAAGATGGAACACATGAGAGCAAACGTCGCATGCCCACACTTTGGACCGAGGGGTTACGGAGTCGTAGCAGATCAAGCAGTCGTAGTCGCTTTCGGCAATATCTCTAATGATACTAATAATAATGTTATCGTCGCTGATACCGAATGACTTTATGTAAGACAAGTCTGCGTTCAGGTCTCCGACTTTGATGTTCGCAGAGCCCTTAGAGGCGGATTTAGCGGACGATAGCTTAGAGCCGAACTGCTTCTTGCGTAGTTTATTCCGTTTGGCGTCATTCCGTGATTTCCTCTGCTCGTTTTTGCCACCTTTCTTTAACGTAGTGGCGTCTGCAGGGGGAGGGTCGTGGCCCTGCTCGATTGAAGGCATGCGGTCTAGGTGCGCAATGAAAATCTGAGTTGGGAGTCGATTAGGAGAGACGCGCAGAAACGTATGGGCAGTGATGTCTAGGCCAGAGCCCTACTGTGCACGTCGAACAAAATCCATGAAACAAATAAATAAGTAGCGTTCACCGTCTAGGCGGCAATAGCTGCCGTCTTTTCGTTGAGCCCGTCGGACGGCAGTGAAAGAGATTCCTTAAGGAACTTATCGATCTTTTCCCAGTAGTCGCCGCTCGTGCAGGTGTCATTGTGGCCAAAGCCCGGGAATCCGTAGAAGGACTTGTAGGGGGAGCCGCATAAATCGTACAGCGCACGGGTCTGTTCTGGAGGCACAATTTCGTCTTTCATACCAGCTAAGAATAGTGCAGGCATCTTGAAGGATGGGACGAGTGCCTTGGAGTTCCACTTCTCGTGGCATAGGTACGAAAATCTGGATAATAGTGGGAACGTCGCCGGGATCATGTCTTGTATGGACAGAAACGTGTTTTCGAGCACGATTGCGCGGAACATTTTGGGCTCGACTGAAGCCATGTGGCATGCGACGGCACCGCCAATGCTCTGGCCGTAGAGGACAAATTGCGTTTTCGACAGTACCTGATGCTCCTTCAAAGCCGCAAGAAGGGCAGCAACGTCCAGCTTGATGCCTTTCTCGCTTGGCCGGCCAGTGTTGGCACCGTACCCGCGATATGACCACAGCACCACGTTGTATCCCATCTCATAGAACTGGCTCGCTAGCGGTATGCGGGTGCCCATGTTTCCGGCATTGCCGTGACACATGACGACGGTATGCGAAGAAGGAGATTTTGGGTTGTATATAAAGTATGAGAAGATTACGACTTCGTCCTCTGTTACGAGGGTGACATTTTCGTACGGCAGGCCGTAGACGCTTGGACGAGAGACTGTAGATCGCGCATCCTTGGGGAAGTTGTTCATGTAGATTATGTAATTCTGCGTGAAATATAGAACGACAAGACCGCTCGATAAGGTCACGGCTACAAATGCAGCGCCGTAGATGGCCAGCTTCGATAGCGTAGCAATGAACGACATTGGTGCACTTGATAAGGGGAGGTGGTCGATAGTGTGGGTTTGACTACCTGGGCCACCAAAACCTACCTTCTACATCAACGCCACGGACCCCCCAACTAAAACAGAATGTACAGCCACGGAGTCGCAATGACAGATATCAACGGCATAAATGTCGATATCAATAGATTGAAAAAGGGCGAAGTCAATCTCGGTACTTCTATAATGGCCGTCACTTTCAACGGAGGCGTAATCCTGGGCGCAGACAGCAGAACTACTACAGGTGCCTACATCGCGAACCGCGTCTCTGACAAACTGACAATGGTGCACGACTCCATCTGGTGCTGCAGATCTGGCTCCGCCGCCGACACACAGGCAGTCGCCGACATGGTCAGGTACCATCTCGCTAACTACAGTGTCATGAACGGCCGGCCAACTACGCAACAGGCCGCTGCCATCTTCCAGGAAATATGCTATCAGAACAAGGACATGCTCACCGCCGGTATAATCGTTGCAGGATACCATCCGCGAAACGGCGGCGAAGTTTACGCTATACCGCTAGGTGGTAGTGTCCACAAAGAAGACTACGCAATTGCAGGGTCAGGCTCATCGTTCATATACGGCTATTGTGATAAACACTTTAGACCGAATATGACTAAAGAAGAAACTATAGATTTCATGAAAAATGCCTTATCCGAAGCCATGAAATGGGACGGTTCTTCTGGAGGCGTTATTCGAATGGTTGTTCTCACCGAAAATGAACCTGAAAGGCTTTTGTTCATTCCTGGCCAGTTCTAAGTGCCACCTTTAAAACAATTCCTATGACGAGTTAAGCACCATCAGTTTCCTGTCTGTACTGTCTCAATGCTTTTGATACCGGCTTATAGTGCCATCACTCTCTTCGTGACAGACCGATCCTATATATACGTACAATTGTACCGTTGTTTGTGTTCTTCTCTCTATCTTGCTTCCAACGCACGCGCGTTATGCCTACCTACAGTAGTAACCTGCATGCGAAATGCATCTATTATCAGTCTACATGTAGTCAGATACTCATTGCGTAAAACAGAACTCGCTACACATAATAATAAAAAGAACAACTGTTAAGAAACATGACATAAAAAATCGACAACAGCAGGATTCGAACCTGCGACTCCAGAGGAGAAAAGATCTCTAAAGTGATTCGAGTCTTTCGCCTTAACCACTCGGCCATGTTGCCAATACACTAAGAGATAACTTTGCAATAGTAAAATATAAGGCCACAAAATGTAAAATTCCTGAAAATCACGGCGAATAATGCTTATAAGGCGATAAAAATTGTACAGTCGTTTCTTACCAGATTGATATGTCAATTAAACCCCTTATAAACTTGCAAAGCTTCTGTTATGTGCGAAGGGGGCCCTGTAGGTTGCCAGGGGGCGGATTTCTGTACCTGAATGCAAGGGCAGCAGAGGCTGGCCGCACTGCGCCTTTCACAGTCATCTTCACCTTCTGCTTTTTAGTTTGCCTAACATGACCGGCGATCTAAGAGTAGCTATCTCTGGATTATGTGGATCTATAAGTATTTCATGCTGGGTTGTGCTTCTTCTTCCGCAACTCATCGAACAATGGAAATTAAAATCGTCTGATGGTATATCGTTAACGTTCATTACTGCATGGTTCATTGGCGATATCACAAACTTAATTGGCGCTATAATAGGCGATTTACTACCTCAAGTGATTGCTTTGGCTGTATGGTTTTGCATAGCTGATTGTCTTATTATCGTTTCTACCTTATATTACAGAAGGCTTGAACGTTTAGAGGAACTAGAGAGGTCGCGATCGAATGCCGCTGACGACCACTTGTCTCCGCTTTTAGAGCGTAACAACTCGCTTGCAGGCAGGCGACCTTCTGCTAACAGGCGACGATCATCTGTGCGAAGAAGAAAATCTAGCAGTAACGACTCATTGACTGCTATCATAGAGCAGCCTAGACATGGCTGGCGCCTTGTTCTTGTTAACTATGTCATTCCTCTTTTCGTGATTATCCTCTCCGGCGCCGGCGGATTTTTTCTCTCGGGCTCGGCGTCGCCTTCTGACGGAGACTCTCACAGCGGTGTTCCTGGCCCTGTTCAGGAAGACTGGGCATCTGCATTCGGCTATATATCGGCCGTCATGTACTTAGCTGCACGCATTCCACAGATTATCCAGAACCATAAGAAGAGGAGTGTACATGGTCTCTCCTTGCTATTTTTCATTCTGTCTACACTCGGAAACCTCACATACGGTGCTCAAATTATTGTATTTTCGACCGAGCACGAATACTTGATGCTCAACCTACCCTGGCTCATCGGGTCCTTGGGCACCATCGTGGAGGACCTCATCATTTTTGCACAATTCTACATCTACAGACAGACGGCCGACGATTTCGCTGTATAAGCATGCCAAGAACGGCGTCCATATCACATGATCGGTTAATATACTGCGATAATAGTCTGTGGCGATCGTTCTCCTGCCGGCAACACATTAGTATGTGCGGGAGCCGTCGTGTATCTAACCAGCTAAATCAATACTACGATTATGATTATCTGCTCATTTACTACGCGCGGTACGTATCGCGAGCCTACACTAGACTACGGCGAGTGTGATGTTTTGGAATAAAACTAACATAAGACGTTCATTAGCTAAGTAATAAATTCTTAGTCAAACAGACCGAATCCCATGTCGTCGTCGGATTCCTCCTTCTCCTCTTCCTTCTCCTCAGCAGGAGCGTCCTCAGAAGCGGCACCGCCAGCAGCAGCGGCACCGCCGGCGGCAGCACCAGCAGCAGGGGCAGCAGATCCAACATTGAACAAGAGCTCCTTGATGTCCTTTCCTTCGAGGGCCTTAGCAAACAGTTGAGTCCAGATGGGCTCGACGGACTCGATACCGGCGGTTCGGATAAGGGTTTGAAGCTTATCGGCGGTGATCTCGGCACCTTCGTCGGCCAAGATTAAAGCGGCATATGAGCAAGCAGTTTGAGCGGACATTATTTCGTTGAATGTATGTGTAGTAGTCAACTGAAGTTGGTGGGAGCGTGTGTGGGAGTGTGCGGGAGTTGAGAGTTGCTAAGCGCGTGACTGTGACTTCGTAGGGCAAAGAAACCACCCTAGAATCACTTTTAGGGTCAAGGGTTCTTACCCCACCGAGGAATTTAATCATCGCTCCTGGAAACCAACTGTATCTTCCCATTCCCTTTTCCTTGTACCCCGAAGATTGGACATAGATCTTCGCCAGGCGCTGTTGTATAGGTAAAAACGCGTGCGACCGGTGATTAATAGTTGCTGTCAGGGAAGTTAAGCTAGTATTTAAAACAATGAATTCCGCGGTCCCCACATATGAGCAACCCATTCTGCAGAAACTGATCAACCTGAGATCTAAACTAACAGCGCTTAAGCAGGACAGATCCGATTACATGAAATCTTCCGATGTTAGTGCGTTATACGAACAACTGATTAGCCAGATCAGTAAAATTAATCATATCCGCCAGGACCCCCAGCACTATGAAGAGCGCAACCGCTTGGATACTGTCCTGGAGGACGTCTTTCAACTGCTGTCATTGTGCTTTTTGACCGTAGGACTGAACAGGGCAGCACCAGCCACGTATGCATCCTTGTCTACAGTGCAGCGAATTTTAGAGCATTTAAAGGAGGTCAGAATATATTCGGAGAACGACCTGCGTCCTATAAGGACGCGCCTTGAGGAGATCAAGACTATAGTAAAGAACGATAGTGGCGAAGAGTCGCCGGAGGTTGTGCGGCTGCTCAAGACGAAGATTGATGTTGCAGAAAGCTCTTTAAAAGAGCTGGAGGACTCATTATCAAAGATATCGCCGGATATGATGTCTCTTCTGGGTCGTTTGGTTCAGCTCAGAAGAGACATGTTTCGTACGACTGCCAACAACAAGGCTGGGCTGTCCATCAAGCAGTTGAACGACATCAAGGAGGAATTGCGACGAATTGAAGCCAAAAGAGTCGACGGACACTTTCTGACAGCCGACGGCGACATAGCCGAAGGAGAGTCGCAAGTCAATGCTTGTATAGAGGATATCCACGATAACCTCAACGACATTCTAGCGTCTAAGGATGAGCTGATAGCGCCGTTCCTGCAAGATATATTCAACGAGCTCACTACGATGAAATCTCAGCTGGAGACGTTGTTGCTGACTCATCGGTGGACCATGCGAGAGACAGATTTATATAATTATCAGCATAAGCTGAAGGAGATTGATGATTTAAGAGTGAATGGCAAGTTTGTTGACGAGAACGGGAACCCCGGAAAGGGTGGCAATTTGTTGCTTTACCTGCTGAGACGGTGCTATGCGCTTATCTACAAGCTTCTGGAGGCGTCTGAACCGGTGTCTGAAGCGCTTATGCCTATTCAGAACCAGCTGTCTACAGTGCGACGATGTTTGCTTGAAGTGAAGCGAATGGGTGGATTGTCGTCTGCTCGTGAGCTGTATCCATACCAAATGAAACTGGCGTCTATTGACAACATGCGACAAGATGGTAAGTTTCTAGTAGGCGACACCATACCGGAGGGACAAGGCTTACTGAATGCTCTACTAGCGGAATGTTTTGATATTTGTCATGAGTTGCGCACTGAATTGGACGAGGCTAATGAGGGCGAGTAAGAGGTTGTTTTGTTGGTCTCTTTTTTAAGAGGAACGGCTTCCTTTTGCATACAGAAGCGAACATACCTTGACGCTCTCTTATTTTTTCTATTTTCCAGAAACAGATTCTCTTATTGTATAATGATTTCATCGATAGTCGTGTAGGCGCCGTTGGCATTGGCGGACATTTTGCAGAGTGCTATTTTGTTTATCTCCTGAAGCGGCATGAACATGAAGTTCGGGTACTGCGAAGCAATGTGCGTTACTTTACGCGGATACCTTCTTATTAGAGAGAGATGCGGCGTATAAGTGGCGTTTGGTAGTGGTATTTTTGAAGCTGCACGAATATCGTCGAGAGCCTGTGTCTGACCATGCACTCTGGCGAACACAACGCCGGACCCAGCATTAAAGCTGCCAGTTCCCTTCACTTCAAGGGCAAATTTCTGCAGGTTGGATTCCCTGAGATTCTTCATTGCGAGTAGCGCGACTTTGAGGTCAGGAACGGTAGCGATCGTGATGTGCAGTCCCGGGTCCGGCAGCAAATACGGCTCTACATCAGGTGCAAGACTCAGGACTTCCTGTCTCCACTTGTGACAGTTCTCAAGAAGCTGCTGGTTGTCTTGCAGCGGTATAGAGAGGAAATGCGTAGGTTTGAAGCGGTTTCGCATCCTCATTGTTACGTGCAGAACGATGGTGGAGATGGGTGGAGGTGGGATGTAATACCTACTTCACCTACCAGCCGAACAACATAGAGCACTAACTACCTTACCTTTGTATTACACGTGATAATGACGCCGCTTAATGACAATGTTGACGACAATACTGATAATTTTGACGATTTAGACGGTTGGGGCGACGAACAGATTGATTTTGACGATACCGACGTCCAAGCGCAAGCAGACAATCACGAACCTTCACAGTTGACCATGGACACGCAGGTTCCTAATACACCAGCCATCTCGTCGAGTCTGGACGTGCAACAGGATAATGCTGCTGCTGCTGCTGCTGCTGCTGTTGCTGACGACTCTCAATGCGATTGCGATGACATTGCGGAACAGTCGCAGGTCGATGGTCTAGACCCTGTACACGCCAGCGCACTTCCTCCCCGGACCACAGCGGTTTCAGCCAGCCCCGATCGCACACAGTCCGAACCGACAGCAGAGCCTGCACCTGTTTCTGACTCATCTGAGCGCGTAAACATTACACCTAGCATACCACACAATACTGATCAGCATGAAGGCTCACCTTACGACCACATTGACTCACATATTCCACCAGAGAGCCTCCACGACACACACACCGTGAATGGACACCTGGACGAGACAACAGCGCCTGTGTCAGTCGTCGAAGAGTCGGTACAGTCGCTGGAAGATCATTTAGAGTCAATTGACATTAACGAGAACACTGTTGATGTACCAAAACCGCCGGCCGCAAACAACCCCCCACCTGCACATGTAGCTGCACCCCCGGTCGCTAGCTTGAACGGCGACGATCTGTCTTTGAAAACAGTGCTGGAGTCGCAGGTTGCAACGATAGAAGACCTCCGCTATCAGCTCGACCAGGCGCTTATGGAAAGAGACGAGTACGTG